TCGTATTAATTTTTAATTTTTGTTTATGAAATAATAGTAAAAGATCGGTTAAGTGTTTTAAGGTACAAATTTCTAATTTTATACATAAAAAAACGTAAAATTCTCTTATAAATAGGGACTGAAAGTGGTGAAGTGGAGCTCGGAACGTCGTAAATATAGGGACTCATTTTTATTCGAAAACTATAAAAATATATGATTCAAATAAAACAAATTTATTTTGTTTATTTAAAAAAAATTTCATTTATATCCCTTTCAAATTATCATTATTTTTTACATAAAAAGTAAATTTTGGGGCCCTTCTGTACGCTGTGCATATATTGTACTGTACTGTAGAAATGGTCTCTTGCTGGCACCCTAGATATGGGGCGATTTTTATTTAGATACATATTTTATATACGATAAAATATATTTTTTTATTTTATAAAATCTTATTTTAAAACGTTAAAAAAATAGCTATTCGAATATAATGTTAACTGCTATGACAAATAACAGTAATGAATGCATTTTTATAGGAAAAATATGTTTAAAAAACATAAAACTGTACACATAATTGTTAATTTAAAAAAATTGTAGACCTATAAATTCTCACTGTTGTCCACCTGTCTGTTATTCCTTTCTTAATCTCGTGAATAGTGTTAGATATATGAAAGTATGGACCAGATTCAAAAATCTTAGGGGCAAGAGATCCAGAGTAACTATAGAAGAACTTCACGTCATTGTAATTCAAAAATTTTCCCCTAAAACGATTTTGATAGATGACTGCCATGATTCTATTGCTAGCAGGAAAGTATGATTTACAGGGGCAAGCCACTACCGAATTGAGGTGGAGAGCATATATTTTAAATTAAATTAAAAATATGATTAGAAATTACAGCCTGGCGGCATTGTGACGATGTCAATCAAATATTCTAAAAATAAAAATAATGAATAGTTATTTGTCATATATTATTTCGTTGTGTTCAAATCCCAAGATTATAATCATTAATTTAAAGATTACAATTTTTTAGCATTAGTAACGCTATATCTCACGACTCGACATCTACTTCAAACTACACGCGAGAATATTTGTAAAAATTTGTTCACGCAAAACATTCATTTTCTTAAGTATTTTTTTTATATAATTGGGCTGAAATTTGAAAAAATTTAGACCTATAAATTCCCACTATCTGTGGTTAAATGTCTTTTATCTCCAGAACGGTAGCAGATAGATGAAAGTCGAGACCAGATATGGAAACCTTAGGGGAAGGAGGGTTCGATTAACTATATACGAACTACCGGTAGAAATCAGAAGTCACGTGATTTCAATTAAAAAAAATCACCCCAGACACACAGTTACATAGATGATCAGCATGACTCTGCTGTTATCAGGAAAAGTATGATGTACAGGGGCAAGACACTAATTTGAAATCAAGAGCATATATTTTAAATTAAATAAATAAATTGTGACAAATAAATTATTATAACACTTTCACAATAAATAATTGCTCGTTTTTTTCTATTTTTTTTAAATTAGTTTTTTTGTTAGAATAGTTTGAAGAGGAGAATTCGAACTCGTCGTTTCGGATGACGATTCTTTGAGAAAAAGATTGTTGTTGAACTGTTGACAAGAACTCCCATGGGGCAAAATTCCCTCCCTTATGGCTCAGTAAGCCGTCAGTACAATCGCTTCACTTCATCCTTATCCCATCCTTGGGGTGTTAGGAAGAAGCTGAAGCATTCAGTCCATCTACAGACTAGTCTAATGGATGTCAGTTCTCATTTTATATCCTTTCTAAAAAGTTATGTACGGTAGCAAACCCGTATCTTTGATTGGATTCCTTCCTTACTACCTTTTAAAATATGTAGGATGTCATATAAATGATCATCTGGATGAAATTAGCTTTACCTTTCTTTTTTTCCCCCTCGATATAACGTTATTATCGGTTTTGTTTCGGTAATAGCGTAAAATAATTTATCGTTTCTCTAATGTAAGCGGAGGTGTTTCGAACGAAATGATAAATCTGATGTGTGCCCTCTCGGAAAATTGCATTCGCTCTACATTCTACTGTTGAAAATCTTTAATCTTTGAGGCAAATATGCAATGCCTCGCTATAAAATTAGATATATGTGTTTGTTTTCTACAGGGCTGACGTGATATGTTACGTCCGATATCACTGATTTAGAAAATATGTCATAGTGCAATACGATCGTAAATTTTTGCCCTTAAATTACGTTTTTTTAAAACCCGTTTTTAACGTTATATATTCTAAATTATGTAATATTTACAGTATAGAATATAATTATCTAACCTTAAAAAATTTTATACGTTTTTTTTTTATAACTTGTACAAGCAAACTTTTATCGGCGCGACGTACAACTCCTTTGAGAATAAAGGTTGCTATAGAATGACCATTGTCATTTTTTCCCTTATTTTTTTTTTTTAAGAAGAAAAAATATAGCAATTTTTCTTTACTCTCTCTCTCAAGTGTATTTCTTGTTTGCTCACAAAGATTTAAAGAAATTAATCATAGAAAATGGTAAAAAAATTAAATAAGTTAAATGTTTATTTTGAAAGTAGAAGTATGGCTCTTCTAACAAAGTGTGTATAATCAATTATTTTTGTTATAAAAACGTAGCAATATATATATATANTCAAAATCAACACTATTAAGGTTGCTAAACAACTGCATCTATCAAGTAAACACGACCATCAAAAAACACCTCCTGGTATTTTATTTATTTAACAGATTAGTTCAAATTTAATTTTAAAAAAATAATAATAATAAATATAGTTTATGTTTTAAAGACCTGTAGACGTAAATTGTTTTCAACAGTTAAAATAAAAATTTACTGTGTTAAATTTATGTTATTTTAAACTTATAACAATAAAAAAATATTCGAAATTTTCGAAAAAAAATAATAAATAAAATAATTTTTTTTTATATAAAATCAAATAAAATTTCTAACTTTTTTTTCCTCTGTAAAGATACCAATCGACGTTTCTGTTACTAGAAACAAAAAAAAGTGATACAGAAAACTTCAATTTCGAACAGAAAGGAAACCATAACCTTCCCATACAGGAAAATAATTTTTTTTTTCTTTTTTATTTCCCATATTTTATTGCATAAAATTTTAAAACTTTTTTAAAAAAGTATTTTTTAAGGTATAAAGGATAGAAAAAAAAATATGGTTGGATGAATGATAGATATATCGTATGATTATAAATTAATATAGTATCTTGTTATCTAACAGTTAGTTCGTTGGAAAAATTGATTTTTTTTTCTGATGCCATCTGTACCGAGACATTTCCTTTAATGATATTTCTGTGTTATTGACAGCTATCCAGTGATAACATTATTGGTAGAAAAAGCATCCAGGTCGCCAAAAAAAATTATATCTATCAATGTAGGAAATGAATCATTTCCGAAGAATCTAACTAGAAATTAAAACTAAATAGGGGAAATTTTTCCCCTAAAAATTTAAACTTTATTATATAAATTAACGTGGTTAAATCATATAATAACTTATAAATATTAATATTATATCCGTTGATTATATTTTATTCATTTTATTCACTTTTTCTCTTCATCTTCGTTATCACCGTGAGATGATCTGATTCGAAAATACAAGAATTAAATAGGAAACTCAAAAATTAAGTAGAAAAATCTGTATTTTTCTAGCACGAAGACCTAAACTACAACGTGTAAGAGGTTCTTCCACAACTAAATTAATAAATTTAAAAGCGTAGACCCTAATCTCTCTAGCAGGTCCTAAACTGTAACTCGTTTAGTTTATGTGTAAATCTGTCCCTGCTTTGATTTGACATTCTAATACATAAACTAACATTACTAACTCATATTTTATAGATTAATTATTGTTTTCATAGATAGAACCTACTCGTGTATGTAAGCAGAAGAGAGAAAGGGGATGAGGAAAAGGATAATAAAAAGGAGAAAAGATCCAATTAGAGTGAATCAGAAGGTATGAAAATAAATACGAAATTTGTTTATAATGTTTATATAATAATTATAATTACATAAAATAATAGTTTCACTATAAGGATGTAGTGGAAGAATATAGTAAAGTANCGCAGGTGTAATTTCCGGAGTAGTCTGCTTGTGCATCCTTTATATATAATTTACTGACAACTGTATCGTTTCCAGCTTTCTGTAATGATATTTCTCCTCTCGAAGAATCATAATTGATCATTCTTTCGTTATGAAACCAAAAAACGAAAACTGGAGGTACTGGACTTTGAGTTATGACACAAGTCAAGTTAATAGAACTTCCTGTTTTGATATAAAGTGGATGAGGTCCTAGTATCGATGCTTTTGCCTCTGAAATATGAGAAAGAATATTAATGTTCCTGATAAAATTATGTATCGGTGTATCATTTTTTTAACGTTTAATTTAACTTATTTTTGATTTTTTAATTTTTTAAAATGTTTTATTGCGTGTCAGACTGGTCTATTTTTAGCTGAATGATGTAAGAAGAAAGGATATAAAAAAATGTGACGTGTGGAAAAGAACTGTGAATGAAGATGGAAGGAAAGAAAACCGCTACAATACTTTGTAAGAAATTTTAAAAAATACATAGAAAAGAATGAGCAATCGTTACAATGCCGGGCAGCAATTTATAATCATATTTTTAATTTATTTAATTTAAAATATATGCTCTCCATCTCAAGTGTCTTGCTCCGCCCCTGTACAGCATACTTTTCCTGATAACAACAGAGTCATGTCAGTCATCTATGTAAGTCCGTATGGGGGAATTTTTGAATTGAAATCACGTGATTTCCGGTATAGACCTAAAGTTACTATATAGTTAATCAGAGCCTTCTAATCCTAAGATTTCCATATCTGTTCATGAGATTAAGGAAGGATAGACAGTGGGAATTTACAGGTCTACAATTTTTTTCAAATTGAAGCCCAGCACTTGTGTTCAGGAAGATGAATTTGGGAGAAATGAGCTTTCAGAAATGAGTTGTAAACACGTGTAAAAACATATTAAACTTACCTACAACGTTGAGATTGACAAAAAAGCTAATTTTTGGATCCGAACCAACTTGGCATTCGTATAAACCAGCATCATTTAATTGAGGATATCTTATTTGTAGAGACCAATCATTCGTTCTTTCCATATGAATAGCTTGAAACCTAGCATCTGTCGTATAAGTCTCTAATCCAACAGTTAGAACATGAAAATCCTTTCTTCTTATCCACGATACCTGAAATATAATAAAAGTTAATAAGAGTATGGAGAAAGGAATAATAATAATAATAATAATAATATTTCGTTTAACGATGATATAAAAGATAAATCTAAAATTATGTAGGTGATAACTGGTAAAAGTTACGCTTACACGAGTTAAGTGTAACTAACATAAGGTAGTCGACAAGCAATGGTGACGAAGTACCTAAAGACACATAACTACATAGGCACTTGACGTTATCACAGCGGGACAACGATGTTTAAAGAGGCCATTTCATAAACACAGGCAAGAAGACTTGCTTAGAAGAATGAAATGACACCGAAACAACGACAACAATTTGCTAGATTTATGAACCAATCGTTATAAGTAATGTTTCCGGAATGGTGTCGTCTATCACTCTGTAACTTGCCACAAGAACTAGTGTAAGTTCTTGCATGGTTTTTATAACACGTAAGACAGAAGAAGGGAGGGGAAAAAAAAGTAATCAAAGGATGAAGTAAGTCTTTGATGTGATGTATGTTATGTTAAAATCGCTTTAAAAATTTTGTTATGGTCGATATTGACCATCTGCTAGGGTTATGGAGAAATTTTTATGTTAGTCTGGTGATTTTTATCAATCATCTAAGCTTTATGGTGTTGTTTTTTCCCCTTTTTTCCTTGTATTTACCGTGTTGTAAACTCTGTACTTTTGATAATCATCACTTACTTCACCTAAATAAACAAGAATTTTATACATTTTTTACATTTTATATCAAACCAAACAAAGCTTAAATTTGATTTAAAAAAAACAACACAAATAATCAATTATTTATTAAAAATTTAACTTATTTTTTTCACCTAGTTTAAACGATTGTTTATGTCTTGTAAATCGGACAGACAAACAGACAATCACACAGAAGAATGCTCACGTAATTTACATAAATGAAGAAATGAAAAAAGAAGAAGAAAAAAAAACAAGTAATTTACAATAAACGTTAAACAGAAAATCGTTTATTTACAAAGTTTGAACTCATTAATTTAAATTAGTACAGCTACACGTGACTGAAATTGATTAATAAACTTGTTTAATTTATAAAAATCAAAATAAGTATAACAAAATTAGTTAAGTTGTTGCTAAATAAACAGATTTAATAAGTACAATAGCAGATTTATCTGTACATTTCTATATACAATATTTACTTCTGAACAGCTACCTGACCCTAGAAGATAGTAGTGACAATCGATAACACTAAAACTCTATCGCATGCTGCCATCTGTTGTTAAAAGAAAGAACTGTTTAATTAACATTATCATCTAATTTAATCCCCCCCAAAAAATACAATAAAATTATAACTTTTTTTAAGAAAAAATAAAATATTTAATTAAAATTTTTAAATCTAATTTCATACCTTTCGCTTAAATTTATGTAAATACAATTATTACTATTTTTAATATAAAATTTAACAAACACTCTCAGGAAAAAAAAAACTGTTATTTATTCAATAAACACATTGAAAATTAATTATATAAATTTAAATAAAATTATTATTATTATTAATTTTTTTTTAAAGAAAATGAAAATTTTGACTGGCAGATTTTCAATAATTATGTAAATCTTTCGGTAATGTAATAAATTTTCTACTTGAATAAACTTTTCCACTTAATGGAAAGATACAAATTTCAACAAATATGCAAATAATCATGATTTGAAACCTTTATATATATATATATATATTTCATTATAACAAATTTAATAAAGTTATAATATATTTTGTAATATTTGCTACAGTAAATACTTCTCACGGATGCTGGAGTGCTGCTCTGATATTAAACCATGTATTAATTCGTGTTTGTGTAGCAATTTAATGCATACAATTCGAATTTAATGTATGAAAACAGGATAAATTATCGATTTTTACCTCTTAATTTTCGATTAATATACAACTTTAACTGATATTTTGCTTCATTTTTAAGAAATTTAAGTCACTTTCTACGTGTCTTGCTTCGTGTTTATAGTTGTTTAATATATACTAAAATAAAAATTTAAAAAAAAATTGTTCTTTTTAAACCTTTAATTTATATTTTAGATGTAAATTTAATTGATATTTTGCTTCATTTTTAACGAAATTTAATCGAGTTTCTAGGCATTTAACTTCTTAAATTTCTACCCAAACATTAATCTATTAATTATCTGTAACTCAGATCTACAATAATTACCGAAAGTAATTTATTTACTACAAATTCGAGAAGTAATAATTTAACAATTTGTAAAGTCTAGCGAAAAGAATCTAACGATTTAAACGTTAATTATTGCTTTTTAATTAATTGAAAAAAAAAGAAAATAATAATAATATTTTCTAAAAGTTATTAAAAATACATTTAGTAAGAACTAGGAGCGACGTAAAAATGAATAAATAATAATATTAAAAATGTATATATAATACATGAAAAATTCTAGAGACAAAAATCAACTGACATCTTCATCACTTTCGAATTTGCAAAATGTAACAATAAATAAAAATCAAATATCCATTTGGCATTTGTTTCTACGCGAAATGAAAATTTTTCCGAGGAGTAAAATAAAGAAAAAAATAAAAATAAAAATAAATAAGTAAAAAAAAAAAAAAAAAAAAATTATCACATACTCTTCTTATGTTGAATGAATTTTTCATTTTGAATATTCCCACAGGAGTGTGTTCTTTCATCCGTTTCTAACATCCTTTTCTTGAAGAAGGATGCAGATCCTTCATCAAGCATAAAGATTGGATTGAGTCAAAGAACTTTGTCCGCTCTTTGATAACGTATTTAAGCTGACGAGGTGAATGACCTTTGCAACTATTCACTCTTGCTGACGATAGTTGAAGATGGCATTTCAACTGTTCACTTATATCCTTCAATCGTTCCTCTCTTAAACGTAACTATATCGTTCGTCTCTTTACATTTAACTATTTTTCATTGATTTGTAATAAATGTTCTAAAGTCTACAAAATTGAAAAATATCCTCTTCAAAAATTTAATCTTCAAATTTATTTATAATAGGGGGGAAAAATACAATTAAAATCTTCAATTACGAATGAAATTTATTATGTTTTAACTCGTTATTATTTTATTTTCGCGTGTAATAATAATAATAATAATAAGCGCAGAGCCCAAATGGTTAGGAGTTGAAAGATTTATTTTTACAAGTACATCCATAGACAATACATCACATTTCTCTGTGAAAACGAACAAAATTTAAGAAATCAATAAGCAAAATAAATTAAAATTGTAAAGAAAAAAGAATAAAAAAACCTTATTTTCAATTTTTCTTTACAATTTCTACCATTACTTCTTTTATATATTTCAATTCAGGATAAAAATAAAACTTTTTTTCCTCTAGGTTTCTTATTATCAAAGTACTCAAGAAAAGGGATGCTAGTCTGGAAGAGGAGTTCTTTATCTAGTCACTAATCGTTGGAGGAAGAATATGGCCTTAAATTTCTTTCTATTATAGGAGAATAAGATAAAAATTCGTTTCACTCTACCAATACCGATATTGATCAAGTCGTACCGCTTCTGGATTCAATCGTGAACAACGAAGTAAGCAAATATCTAGAAGATTTGAAAGTGCGCCTTTTCTATACTTTTTGAATATTGTGATTTATTTCAAGAGGAAAATGTGCATTTAGAGTTATAATATCAACCTATAAAATACTTATTATTATCGTAAATTTTTCGATTCCTCTACTCTTTATTGCGATAAAAATCATTGATTTCTGAAGTAGCTTGTTCACCTCTTATTTCAATAAAATATGCAGAAGAGAAATAAGGAAATCGCCATATACTGTTTATGTATGAATACATATACACTAAAATCTAACAGAATTGAATAGAAAATAAATTTATACTAAGAAGTATTAGAATTGGAAGGAAAAATAATCAAAGGTTTATTACTCGAGAGATTGACTTTAGATAACTTTTTAATTAAAATATATTATAGAAGATACAAAACCTTATTAACAAGCTTTATATATGTTAAGTTAACTAATTGTAAACAATCGGAGAAAAGCTTTTAGAAATCTTTTAAATTCTTAATTACTATTTTCATTCTCTAAATAAATCATTAACTAGAGTATTACAATTGCGTCATTTAAAATCATTTTAAAAGTTTTAAGATATTTAAAAGTTCGAATTTCTCAAATTAGTTTCGAATTTAAACATTTTTCTACTCCTTATCCTTATATATACTTTCCCACTTTTCCCTTTTCCTAAAGCTTGATCGAGTTGTAAGACGAGAATCTCAGAATTACTCAGTGAAATATTGTAAGAATTTTTTCCCCTTTTTCTCCATATTTTTTTCCCTAAACTTATCGTATTTCTACTATATGTATTAGTCTGATTATTACTGAAGATTGGGCGGAGTTCGCAGGATTTATAAGTAAATTGAGCCAAAATATAAACTGTTACTTCTATCGTCTTTTTAACAATATAGATTATTTTTAAAACTGTCGTAACTTGTTTCACCTGCCAGAATATAAAGTCATATACCAGTTTCTATCATTATCATGTTGATTAGCTGAAGATAATTTCGTGTGGAGTTAATAGAATAATCACATAATAACCATGAGAAATGAAAAATGGTTACTAATGATAGGGTAAAGTTTCAAAGAGAATTCGATATCTTTAATTTTTCTTTGGATGATTTATTGTTTTCCATAACTGTATGAATCTTGTATAAGGCATTTTTTTTCAAATCTAGAATTGTATCTAGTTATATAGAGAATAATTACATTTTCTTATTTTGTGTACGGGAATATTGTTAAATGGTTCTAAAAAAATAGCGAATTTATGATAAATAATCCATAATTCCCAGTTTATAGCATGGATATATATGTATATTTGCTTGTAAAGAATGTAATAAAACCTATAAAAATATTTCTGCTAATGGAATACAGCTGGAAAGAGCAATTTTCACAAGCCATTTAGTACAATGAACCTTACTATATGTTTTGTAATAACTGGGATAAAAATAATTTATAAATAGATCTCTAAATGCA